ATCTAGGAAGTTTGAGATTAGACAGCGAATAAGTTGCTAAAAGTCAAGAATATTAATGGGAGATCGATCTCGTTAAAATGACTCAACTGGTATTTTTCGTATCATTAAGTATGCAAAAATCCATTTAAATACAGACTCGACAAAATATAATCAAAATGACTGTTCGCCGTCTCTTCCCCGTCAAGCCTGAGAAAATGACATACAGAAAAATAGAAGGACAACGTGGCCAAAAAATGGATGTATTGGTTACGAATCTTACGACTTCAAATAGCCGTTATCAGCCGTTATAAACAAACGTCAAATGCACATATATGCATACATTTCAAATTTCCAAGGCTGATTTCGAATGTGCGCGGATTTGTGGATTCGTAAAGCGCAATCCCCTTAATAGCCAATGAGAATTTCTCTTAGAGGTAAATAGGTGGACTCTCATTGGCTATTGATGATATTGCGCATGCGCTTTGCACATTTAGTTTGGAGTAATATACTTCGTGCCTGCGTAGAAAACTAGGGACGTATTATACGTTGTATTATACGCGTAGAAAACCACGTATATTACTTGACGTATTATACTTACCCAACCCTGTTACTGCTTGCAGGAAATTTAACTGCATTAAGGAGTAGCCTCCAGCAGTCTTTTCTGAACAGCTCAACGGCCATATTGGATTGCGATAGTTCCGCGATGTTCCGCCTCGAAAGACGCCATTTTTGAATATTTGAAGAAAGGAAAGATCAGTAAAACCAGCAAAATTTCTGAACTTTGTGGGTGAGGTTGAGTAAAACGACGCACAAAGTATTTTTTTTTCTCACTTTATGCAAAAGAGTGCTCATTATACAGTGACATATTTATTACGCATTGCCACGAGCGAAAGCAAGGAAAATATCACTTCGCAACTTTCGCATCGCGAAGGTACGTGTGTTTTTAGATTCATTATTTGTTAGATCTCGATCCAATGGCATAGTGAGTAGACTACAGTTAAATTCCGAGATTGGTTTCATATCGAATTACAGCTTTTCATTGTTTTGCAAGTCAACCCTCAATTGCAGCATGTACAGCGAATGCGTGCGTACGTATATACTCAACAATGAAAATGGAATAGTATGTATTCGAAAAATTTGTCGTTTACGGACTGAATTGAGACCGATTTTTAAGTATAAATTAAATCTGCCCCGTGCATTTCGTTTACGTTAATTGCATGCTCAGCATGGATATTTAGTCCGTCTCATAAGCGCTTCCCCTATTTCCTTAATTCGTTGAAAAACTATAATACACGAGTTCTTAAACATAGGGACTAGAGCGTTTCCTTGGCACAATAAAGAGGTATTGCAATAGGTATTCGTATCGTTTCCGGCATTTTCGCGTAACTTTTACGTGTGTCGTTGACAAACGGACGAAGCACCGATTTAACCCTTTGCGGTCGATGCCGCCACAGTGGCGGCATTCGCAAGTCATCGTAGAAGTCGATACTGCCACAGTGGCGGCATTCACAAGTCGTCGTAGAAGTCGATGCCGCTACAGTGGCGGCATTCACAAGTCGTCGTAGCAGTTGGTGCCGCCATAGTGGCGGCATTTGCAAGTCTTCGTAGAAGGCCGTGTCGCCAGCTTGGCGGCATTCGCAAGTCGTCATAGAAGTCGATACTGCCACAGTGGCGGAATTCGCAAGTCGTCGCCGAAGGCCGTGTCGCCAGCCTGGCGGCATTCGTTAGTCGTCGTAGAAGTCGATGCCGCCACAGTGGCGGCATTCGCAAGTCGTCGTAGAAGTCGATGCCGCCACAATGGCGGCATTCGCAAGTCGTCGTGGAAGTCGATACTGCCACAGTGGTGGCATTCACAAGTCGTCGTAGAAGTCGATGCCGCCACAGTGGCGGCATTCGTAAGTCGGTGCCGCCACAGTGGCGGCATTCACAAGTCGTCATAGAAGTGGATACTACCACAGTGGCGGCATTCACAAGTCGTCGTAGAAGTCGGTGCCGCCAGCCTGGCGGCATGGTCATTAAGGTGGAGTGAAACACGTCGAGGAACTCGATCGACGTCGATAAAGAAGATTTTTCTAAATACCTGCGTTGCCGGCGTTCGTTTTTATATTGACAGCTGAGTCGAATTATATTGGGTATTGTACCAAATGGCATACTCCACCTGTCGTTTTCGTACAATAATTATAAAAAAATCGAAGAAAATATTCAGAAATCCTCCGGATTCATGGTTTCAGAGGCCCTAACTGACTGCAGAGGGACCCCCTGCGCCATCTGTGATTTCCTGGTCAATTAAATTTTCACTCCGAAACCTCATATTTCCATCGTCTTGGCATAGAAGCGTATACAACACTTTTTCTGCCTTTATCCCGTTCAAATGCGAGTTTATCGATTACCAGTGTTCTAAATTCTAAAAAATTAAAATTGTCCTGAACCTTTAGTTTCTCGTATCAGAGCCTTCGATAATTGTACATTGATCGAAATATGAGAGCTCGACGCCATTTTGGTTCTTGTCTGGGCTGAGTTAAAAAAATTTGTTAAAAAATCCAAATTTTTAATGTATCAGGATAATTCTTAGATGATCACGAGTCATGTATCAAAGATTCGGACAGTTTGGTCCAATACTCTTAAAAAAAGTGTTGTATTCGTATCGATTGATTTGAGGGGGGTTTCACTTCACCTTAATCCCTCAAATGGTGGAGGAAATTATTTTGTTTCGGGCATGGAGATGTGCGTCATATGCTAAATTTACTGGCTGGTAAATTGACTAGCTGGTACTCCCATAAGAAATTTGCCGATCGCAAAGGGTTAAAAATTGATAAGGGGCTTCACCGAGAGAAAAATATGTCGCGCCCGTACCTGTAACACGGTCGGTACACTTAGAGAAATGATCCTGCGACGATTTCGAAAACGAATTTTATTCCTACTATCTTCCGTTATCACGACATCCAACTTATCCTACTTTTTGGCACGAACTTGACCGTGTCACGTGTCCCACAAACATCGAAAATACATACACTTTGACCTCTACACCTTCTACAATGCCCGTGTACGAAAATCTCGTTTTATAGTCGCAGATACATTAAGACCGATTAATGAAGTATCTTTTATCTCACCAAGTGTTCCAGTTTTGGGCGGATTAAGTACTCCTTGAAGCGATCGAATTTCACGTGGAATACGAGGTGTATACCGAAGAAGGAGAGTGGCCGATAACGTTAAAGAACAACGAAAGCTGAGTTAATTCAGGGGAATCTAGATGAAGGATCGAAGGTAACACTTTCCTCTCGGTATACATTATCGTGGTAGCGATTTCTCCGACTCTTTTAATGCTTCGACGTCTTGCCAGGTCTCTCAATGTTGACAATTGTAGCCGCAGTTCGTATAAAGATGCGTCCTTTGGTGGTCCCGTAGATGGTGGCGATGCTTGAATCTTTTCTTGCAACTCGAGCACTGAAATCTTGGCCCAACTCCACATTCGAGTCGCAAATGCCGAGTAAGGTTGCACTTGTGCGAGTAGGTCCTGTCGCATTTCGGGCACAAAAAGGGCGGCCGCTCCTTCAGTTCTTTAATCCTTTTCCACACTGAAACATCAAATCATCAAACATCAAAGTGCTACCGCGAGATACGAGTATCCGCTGAGTACGACGAGAAAATAAAGAGACACCAATTCATGCTGCGGCAGACAATAGTGGGCCCAAATCAAAGACAAAAATGTCCCAAAACTAGACAAAAGAAATTCGATCTGTATCTCTGTGCCCTCCTTCGGGTACTTACACTTTACATCGCATACTTATTTCATAAACTACTAATTATTATTGATATTCATCGAGGAGCGACTTGAGGATTCGGCGGTTACGTAGATTATTCGTTACGTTACATTCTATTTGTTTTGTTTGTTTTTTTGTTAAATGCGGAAATAGGTTTTTATCTATCATGTATTTATTTCATTGCTTTGTACAATGTACTCTCTCGTTAGATTGTCTATCCCCTCCGCTTATGTGTAAAATTCCTGGTGTGTACAAACGTGTACAATGGTTTTCAGACTTTGTTCCATTTGCGTGTTCATCTTCTTCGAACAGACTTCTCACAGTTGGCCCTGTATCGGTTTAGTCTTAACAAAAATATATCTTCTACGCGCATAAACTCTCTTGCCCGGAACTTTGGTTCATCACAGTCCATCGATTACTCATCTCGTGGCAAAAGAAAATAGATTTCGATCGTTCCTACTGTTCCTATCGACATTTTTCTTTGTCCCGACTTACACGTAAACGTAAATTCAAAGGGTAAATCAATGATTTAAACCAAAGTGAAGCACGAGAATCATTCTCGGATGAATTTTTTCTAACGTTTCTCCATCAAGAAAAAATATCTCATCTCATAACGTCATACTTGTATGTCCTTAAGCTTTAATCACGATAAGCCTTCATTCAACTAATCTATAAATAAATGCGACTGACTTGAATATTCGTTAACGAACATAAATTGCACCTTTTAGTGACTAAACGGTACATGGATATATATATACGTATATTATATCTGTCACAGTCTCACTCTTCCTCTTGAACAAAAGGAACCATTAGTGGCAGTGTATAATCCAAAATTTGGTATCGCATGGAATAGTAAAATGGAAGACGGAAACTAATAACTGATATTTTTTGTCAGTCTTCAAGCTGTAAATAAAAAAAAATAACGGGATGGGTTCTGAGAAATTATCTAACCAACATTTAATGAACAAGACCACTGCACCCTCGGGGCTAATTTCCGCAGGGTTCTAATACATACTGTTCTAACACGGAAATGAAAGAAAAAAATGTGAACCCTCCCGAAACTCAAGAAACCTGCTCGAGACCGCATCGAAAAAATGAAAAACCATCCAACGAATAAAATGTCTAACAAAACGCGACTGGAGTTCCTTGCGGCCTGGGTTTTTCTGAAATGAAATATCACTTTGATTAGCGACGAAGAAAATGATCAGGACTCCTGGCTAGAGGGATGGAATGAATATTCGCAACCGAGACAGCCTCGGTTTAGGATTTCTGGTGGGTACGCATGTGGAGCATAAGGTTGTGCTTGTGTTTCGATTTCTTGTGGCAAATTGGACACTCGAATTGCGGTTCCACGCCGCATTCGAATCGGATGTGCCTGTTGAGGGAGTGATGCCTCGCGTATGCGTTTCCGCATCTTGGGCAAGAGTATCCGGAAGCATCTTTGGAGCTCGCGGAAACGTTATGGTTGATCCTTGGACTGGTCCGTTCGCAAGCAATGGGGTTGACGAAGAGATGCTTTGGATCGCTAGAATTCTGTACATTTTCCACCTCCTGGAAGTCCTCGACCAGTTTTCCAGGCTCCTCGATGAGCTTCCCAGGGTGCTCGGAGGCAGAGCTCGAGAAGGAAGCTTCGGTCAGCTGATTTTCCGCCATGAGTCGCAGATAGAGACTTTGGTACTGGTAGTACCACTCGATGGCAGCCCCTGGAGAGTACTTGCGCTCTAGAAAAGACACAAATACGTTCAGCTGAATATATACCACGATCCCCGACTGGTTAGCTCCTTTTCCGGGCTTTTTCGACTTGGCTCGGCCACCACTCGTCTATTCTTGTGCTAGCCACGACTAGGGACAGAACGTAGGACGAACACAAAACGAGCTCAGGACACGTACCAATCACCACAAGCATCGCGGTTTTTCCGATTCGCTGTAACTCGACAATCGATTCCTGGGTTTATCACCTCATACCGCCCCTCCATTTTTCCCGCTAATTTCCAGGATTCGAGTCCTTCGACTGCGGCGATCTCGAGAGCAAGACGAGTCGGCCATTCCTATCGAGACGGAGACCCGAGAATGAGACTGAAATTCGTTACAAGGGTTGCGCTTCCGCTTTTATTCGTTATCCAACAGGTCGATCGATAGATCTATAAATGTACATAGAAACTGCGAGTGTACTTCGCGAGTAGGTTCGTTCATATTTTCGAAAACCCCAATGGGAAACCTACCTCTCGGTCGGCCTTAAGCTCGAGACATTTGAAGAAGAGGTTCGATTCGCGGTATTCCGGGAATTCGAAGGATGCCGGGGCACTTATTTTTTGTCTCACACCGTTTTCCGGAAACGTGCGCCCGGTGACGGGAAAAGTACGGGAAATGTTCCGCGAGTCAGCGATTTTTCCGCAGCTTGTGTCTACCCTTGTAGTGCTCGTTGAGCTTGTACCGATGATAGAACCTTTTCGGGCACAGCCGACAGCAGAATTTTTTCTCCTTGTTCCCACACTCGACGCGCTGGTGTCGCAACAAGCTGTCCCTCCACTTGTAAGCCTTTCCGCAACCGGAGCAAACGTTGAGGGTGCTACCACCGTGCAACAAGTTGACCGCACTTTGAACCTCGAAGGCAGCCGGCAGGAAGTGCATTCGCGAGGAGAAGGTGTCTGAAAAGGTAACGAAGAAGCCCGTTTAAAAGCAGCTCCGTCCAGGAGAAATAAGAACCGAGTTTCGGTCATGGTTCGTCCCATCAGCCCGAAAGCTCGCCTTAAACCCCTACCCGATACACCCGATTCGTGCCTTACTCGGAATAATTGTTCTCCGGGAACATTTGCGACATATCCCGACACATGTATGCAATCGATCGCCCAGGATGCATCAATTCCCGGCGTTCCTCCCGATCTCCTCGAAGCAGCCCTTCGAGATACGAGGCGAAAGCGTTATCGAGTTTCTTTATTGATGAAAAAGATACAACCGATAGACCGCATCGCCCGGGGTTTCCTAAACCGAGTCGGAAGGTTCCTAAACCGCCGTTCGCCTTCCTCGAGGTTCTCTTCCGAGTGTTTATAACAAAGTCTCCTCGCGTCCCGATTACGGGCCGTGCATGGCGAAAATGTGGTTGCGCAGCTCGTATCGGTACTTGAACTTCCGGTCGCACTTGACGCAGGAGAACCTTTTCTCCTTGTTCCCGCAGTCGACTCGTTGATGTCTCCGCAAGCTGTCCTGCCATTTGTACTTCTTCCCGCAATCCGTGCAGACATATTGCGGATTCTGGACGGGGATGTAGGTGTCTCCCGTGAAGACGTTCGCCATAGAGTAGTTCGAACAGGGCTCCTCGCAGGATTTCTCTCCCACGGGGAAGTTGTCGAAGCTTTCATGGGGTTCGACCATGTTCAGGGTTTTCCTCTCCAGCATCCACAGGGCGTCGTACTCCTTCGGGTCGTCGCCGCGAGCGCTCGAGTCTGCGAACAGAACGGACGAGGAGGCGGGTTAGACGTGCTCTACCGAGGAGAAGAATCCTGACTTTACTCACCCCGAGGAGGACTTGATAATCGAGCGACCGAGGCTTAAGAAAGGCAGATAAGACTATCTGACTGCCTTCCGACGAGGGAGCGCAGCGGGATTCGTGGGACTCCCATAACCGGCCTCCAATTTCCGTAAGCTCGTTTATTCGGGGTGATTAGTCAGCTTCGAGAGCTCGGTGATACAGGTATCGATAAATGTACACAGGCTGCGAGCCTCCGTGGACGGAGCTTTTTCGCGACAGAGCACGCACGAGCTTACATCGTATTATCGGTTACAACCCACCGATTTCCAAGTAGGCGCGCTTTTTAAATCCATGCACGTCCCCTCGTATCAAACGAATCCGGGACCTCTATGTACGAGCGATAACAGGTAGCGGACACAGGTGTCGCGATAGACTACTTTTATGTACAAAATTGTTAGGTGGTAGTGGCATAATCGTACAGCTTCGTCGCCCGTTGTCGCGGAAAACCTCCGTGTACGCCCGCGTTAACGAGTTACTCTAGTTTACAAGGGGCGGAGAATCGCCGCTGCGATTTCCGGCACTTGGAAGGATCGCAGAAAATCCGCGAGGATGTCCGAAGGACACTGGAAGCGATCGAAATCCAGCCTCTTGAAGCTTCTGCCGGAAGGACCGCGAGCCTCTCTTTGGGTCTTTATTTCGATGCTGAACTTCCAGGTCTAGTATATAACTTCAGGTTAAGTGAATCGTTTTAGCGAGTTCGTTAATTCTCTTCCTTGTTTCCGCAGACCAGGCGCTGGTGCCTCCTCAGGGTGTCGAGTCTCTTGTAGGTTTTTCCGCAACGTCCGCAGGGGTATTGCAGCTGCAGGATCTCGGTTTTCTGCTGCTCGTCGCGAAAGGACAGCAGGGTGTCGCACTTCTGCTGGTGTCTCTTCAGGCTGTCTATCCTCGTGTAGCCTCTTCCGCATCCGGTGCAGCTGAACTGCGGATATCGCAAGTTTTTCTCCTCCACGGTCGGATAGAGGACCGGGGGACTGCCCAAGAGGTAGCTCGCTTCCGTGTGGAAGGACACGCCGAATGTGTCTTCGGGACTCACTTTCTCCTCGATCCCCGGCGCACTTTCATCTGCAAAAGATATTAGCGATTTATTACGTAGGGGTCCATATTTGCGGAGATTCGCAGCTCGCGAAACTGCTCGCCGCGACCGCTCGATGATTCCACGCTTTGGGATCGATTAGAACTTCCGGGGGAATGACAGATTTCGGATGTATGAGTGTGTGCACGGGATTTAGGGTATGCCACATATCACACTGGAAATGCAGAGATGCTACTAGGTATCATAGATGCAAAAACCTCTGTATTAACGTATACCTTCTCTCCGATATCTCACACCTCGCGAATCCTGGGCTTTGGTTGCCGAGAGGTCCCTGGCTCTCGCGGATGGCGAATTATATTGTAACTCTGATTGTCCTCCTACATCTGCAATATGCAACTATGCAAATGTATAGGAACAGCGGGTAATGACGACAAAATCGGCGCTCACTTAGATATCGCAATTTTTCGCCCAAGATAACGCGAGCATCTCGGAATTCCAAATTAGAAAAATCGACAACTATTGTGTACTCGTCAAAAAATTAAGTAAGTCATATTGTAACTCCGATTGTTCTCCTACATTTGCAATATGCAACTATGCAAATATATGGGAACAACGGATAATAGCGACAAAATCGGCGCTCGCTTGGATATCGCAATTTTTCGCCCAAGTTAGCGCGAGCATTTCGGAATTCCAAATTAGAAAAATCGACAACTGTAGTGTACTCATTAAAAAATTAAGCGAGTCATATCGTAACTCCGATTGTCCTTCTACATCTGCAATATGCAACTATGCAAATATATGGGAACAACGGGTAATAGCGACAAAATCGGCGCTCGCTTGGATATCGCAATGTTTCGCCCAAGTTAACGCGAGCATCTCGGAATTCCAAATTAGAAAAGTCGACAACTATTGTGTACTCGTCAAAAAATGAAGCAGGTCATATCGTAACTCCGATTGTCCTCCTACATTTACAATATGCAACTATGCAAATATATAGGAACAACGGGTAATAGCGACAAAATCGGCGCTCGCTTGGACGTCGAAATTTTTCGTCAAGTTAACGCGAGCATCTCGGAATTCCAAATTAGAAAAATCGACAACTATAGTGTACTCGTCAAAAAATTAAGTAAGCCATATCGTAACTTCGATTGTCCTCCTACATCTGCAATATGCAACTATGCAAATGTATAGGAACAACGCGTAATAACGACAAAATCGGCGCTCGCTTGGATATCGCAATTTTTCGGCCAAGTTAACGCGAGCATCTCGGAATTCCAAATTAGAAAAATCGACAGCTATAGTGTACTCGTCAAAAAATTAAGCGAGTCATATCGTAACTCCGATTGTCCTCCTACATCTGCAATATGCAACTATGCAAATATATGGGAACAACGCGTAATAACGACAAAATCGGCGCTCGCTTGGATATCGCAATTTTTCGGCCAAGTTAACGCGAGCATCTCGGAATTCCAAATTAGAAAAATCGACAACTATAGTGTACTCGTCAAAAAAATGAAGCGGGTCGGATGTACATGAAAAGGCACATTGTATGCATCGGGGGAAAAGAAGATAGAGAATCGTCGTTTGCGTAAAACTGATTCGTGAAATTCCGTTTTCCTTCGGAAGCATCTGTGACATCTAATTCTGCGATTCTCCCGCTCTTATCCCACGACACGTATCGACTTATTATTGTAATGAATTGTCAAAGTGAATATCGAAAAGGTATCGGCCGCTCTTAAGGAAGGAGAGTAGAGAAACGACGACTTTACTCCCGTGCGTGTCTCGATTTTGATATTCCGGTAAAAAAAAGAAAATATACTCCAGTTCCCCCGCGGTCGATCAAAATGATTCGATTAGCAAATTCTCCTGATTTTGACAAATCGGAGAGAGTGTTTGGCCCTGTTAGCGAAGAGACGCGCGGACGGCGAAAAATGCGAAACTCCGAGTCTAGAGAGTGGAAATAAATTCGTTCCATTAGATGAAAATATCATTTGATACGGTCTGTCTCGGTCTTTTTCACCTTCTGCGCCTCCCTCCGCGTTTCGTGCACTATGCTGACTTTTTTCCGACCTGCTGCGAGTCCTTAGGAAAGTGCATGGACTTGACGTGATTCGCCAAGATGGTGGACCTCGTGAACTTCATGCCGCACCACTCGCACACATTTCTGTTAGGATTGGTACCCCCGCAATAATGTTTCTCGTGTCGGCGTAGACTGTCCATCCTAGAGAAAGACTTCCTGCAAGCCCTGCAAACGATTCGCCGGTGGATGGACTCTTTCTTGACCGCGTTAGCGCGGGTCTTCTTCTCGACGATCGGCACTTCCTTGGAGGGCGTTAACAAATAGTTCTTCGTTTCGATTCGCAGAAATTGTTCCGGTATCAGATCCTCCTCCTCCGGGAACTCTTGCTTGACACTCCACACAGAACTCAAAAATGGACCTGCAGAGGAAACGGAACTTTCGTTACGGGTTACGATCTCGCTGAGACTTCTCAGAGTCTTAATTAGAGATTATAGCTATTAGTAGGAAGGGTTGGAGATTCACGAGTAAGAGTAGGGTAAGCGTGGGGGTAATGAGGGAGTAACGAGAAAGCACATGCAAGAAGTCCAGAGCAAAACGGAGTTGCGGGTGGTCGGTTTCGGAAATTCTCGGATAATTCTCGGAAAATTATCGGAAAATTCTTTACGGATATCGTGGGATGATCGGCGGTCCCCTCGGCGCTCCTCGTTCAACTGAACATTTATTCCCACTCTGCAGAATTGCCCGTGATAGCAACACACGTGCATCCGAAATCCGATTTCGGGTACTTTGCGACTCACTTCGGGCAGTGACCGTTGATCTCGTTTATTTACTCATGGCAGAACAGTCGGTGGTTCCTTGAAACCTCCTTAGCGAGATTTTTAATACCTTAAGACATACTATGTACAGCTTCCCAAGTACGCACTCGACGTCGCGCGAGTACTTGCGTCAATCCCAGTATATAAATACGGCCCGAAACCATTAACCAGCCATGCAAAACGTGAACGATTCCGTCGACCCTCGATTCGGTACTTATGAACCCAAACTCCCTTCGTTCCACCTCAGTCGCGATCGTTTAATCGCTAGCACCTTCTTAACTATTAGAGATTACGGAAACTCTTCAGGGCGGGTCAAAGTTCGCGTCGACTTCTCCTTTTCAAAGACTTTTCCCTTCCATCGGCCGCGGGGATTTCCCATCTAGAATGGTCCAGGATCCGCCATGTGCTTTATCGACACGTGGTCTTTCAGCTGGTATCTTCGGAAGAACTTCCGGCCGCAGAAACTGCAGGAATAGCGGCCCTCCTTGTCGCCGCACTCGGATTTCTGGTGTCTCCTCAAACTGTCCATCCACGTGTACGACTTCCCACACTCCCCGCACACGTAGTATTGCTTGTTGGATTTAGAACAACCGGAGGAAACCGGGGAACTCGTGTCCGTCGTCCCAGGAACCCAGAACATAGTTCGGCCGGGGAATGGCTGCGCCGCATCTGCGAAAGAAAATTATTTTAGTACCTGTTCTTAAGCCGGAAGGTGTTCGATGAGTCTTCAGGTGTTAGATGAAATTATATCCTCGCTATGTCGGTACTCTTTTATTATGGGAAGTGGTACAGGAAACGGGAGTGCGAGGCGCACGACCTCGACTGATCGAGTAATGGGAGAAATAATGTGAAATTAAATGAAACGTCATCGTCGACGTTAAATGTCGCGCTTCCGGCAATCCATCATGTGCTTGTCCAACTCGGTTTGGGTCTGAAATTGCTCCTTGCAAGATCCACAACAATGGGACTTGGTCGATCTTCCGCAGAAATACTTGACGTGTCTTTCGAGGGTCGCCACGTCGGTGAATCCGATTTTGCAGGAGAGACAGAGATGCAAATCCGTCACTTTCGAGGGCTTGCGAACGATGATGTTGGGCTTCAATTTTGTAGGCCTGTTTTTCGAAGCGATTGGGCTTGGCATCGATGATGGCGGAATCGGTAGCACGGCGATTTTTCCCTCGCTGTTCGTCGCGTTCTCCAGGAAACCTAGAGTCTTGATCAACCAGGTAGCCTTCGGGATGTTGGAGCCTTGATGTCGGGACGATCCGATGCCTGAAATCAAATTCGAATGCTGATTTGGAGCACGAGGAAAAACAGAGAAAATCGCTCGTATTAGGCCGAGGGACACGACTTTCGATTAGTGCTGGTTAATGCCTTAAGGACAATGTAACACAAAACGAGAAAAAGGTACCCCTTTTCATCCGGGGGAATTTTCTGGAGGTGTGGAATAATCGATAATAATGTTAATTATAGTAATTAGGGAAATGGATTGACCTAGCTCCGTTGTTATTCCCACGGAGAGAGGAAAACGCTGGTCTGTGGACAAGTCTTGTCGTGATATGATAATGGAAATTGGTATTTTAGAGCACTTCCGAGATCTGGATTCGAAACCGTCGGAAAGAAGGTGGAGGTTGAGGAGTAGATGGTGGAAATGAATTCGTAGCGTCCGGTTTCCATGTCTGTAAAAATAAACCAGAGTCATCGGAGGTTCGTTAAAGTGTATTTCCAGGATCGAGACATTCGGCAGACTCTTAGGAACCGCGGTGCTTCGAATTGATGTGCTTGGTGAGCTCGTATCTCCTGTAGAACATTTTCAGGCAGCCCTTGCAGCGGTACTTGGGCAGTTTTCCGCACTCCAATCTCTGGTGTCTCCTGAGATTATCCATCCATTTGTACCCTTTGCCGCACTCCCCGCAGAGGAATCGCTGGTCGTTAACAGGAGTAGACTGTCCTCGGTGGCGTGGGAAATTGTCCAGCTTCTCGACGATGTCCAGGACGTCGGAGGACAACTCCATGGCCGCGATTTCCTCCCCGATGATGGTCGCATCTGGAACGTGAAAGAGCGATCGGTCACTACTGCTCGTTTTCCGACACGTCGAGAGCGGAAACCGCAGGTTGGCAGATTGGCACCTGAAAGAAGCAGAAATGGTCCGTTAAGAAAAATCCTGGCCTTACCGAGGGTAAATTAAAGAGACCTTTTCGCCATTCTGAGGATCAACAAATGCAGTTTCCTTCCCTCCCTCGGGGAGGGACATTTCTTTTTTCACGAAAAATGCGTTCTTTAGGGGCGCAGAGATCGCAGATCTGGCCACGTCTGGTGACATCGAGTTCGTGTATTTTACAGGAGATATCGCAATGTACAGGTGACAGAGTCGCGTCGACCGGGACGCGTTACACCGTCGGCTTGGAATGGTGCGCGATAACGTGTTCCCGGAGTCGGTCGCGCCTGAAGAATTTTTTATAACAAAATTGACACTCGTTCCTGGCCTCCTTGTTGCCGCATTGTAGCTGATGTCGACGTAGGTTCCACATCCAGGCGTACTCCTTGCCACATTGGCCGCAGATGAAGACCTTCTTGCCGAGGTCCGACGTCCTTGCCGTCAGGGACACCGGAGACGACCTGTCGGACTGCGTGTCGGGATAGTCGTCCACGGGGGCGGACTTCTTCTTCTTCTTGACGGTCCACACCCCAGAGATGACGAGACCTGTCGGTACAGAAGATTCCAGAGTTAATCCCGAGAACCGGCAGCCTTGGCGGGAAATAGCCCCTCAAAGATAGAAAAAGGCCCTCTCCTTATCACTCGACCCTGAAGAGAGGGTCGCTCTTGGACGGGTTAGCCTGAAATTGCGGGATGCTCGGGACAACATGCGGGGAAATCGCTCCTGAATGGACGATCCCTTTTTCGAGGCTTTACCCCTCACCAGAAGTCGTTAGCAGGAAACTCCGGAAAAGTGATCGAGCCGCCTCGAAGACCGGCCAGGATCCAGAAGGAGCGATTACGTTTACGCGATTGATTTATTCGTTACAGTAGATACAAATCCAGAGAGCCTTGAACGATCCGACTCCCTCCGAGGAAATGCTCGATTCTCTTAATCTATAACAGCGAGTAACACGAAGTCTTTGAGACGGAACCGCGCTCGACGCCGTTTTTTAAGGCTCGCTCGCACCTTAAATCCCGCCAACGGGTTCGGCACCCACTTTTTTAATCCTGGTAATTTTACGCCCTGCGTTTACGTCGCCTCGCGACGCCTTTATATTTCGTGCATTCGGAATTCTACGTGGCACCGGATGGGCGCGTGATCATTAAATCGGACTCCTTATCCAAATCTCTTACACCGGATTGGTTAATCGGTTAAAATAGTACTACTCTCAGTTAGACAATTAAACCACATCCAACCGTTAACCCAAATCGAGCTCTGGGCTGATCCTTGTTTGTTGAAATTGAAAAAAAAATACATTAATTCGGTAATTAATTATTTAATTAATTTAGTGTCCTATCGAGGTTGGAACCCGATCGCACCTTTCCTTCTCTCGCTTTTCGGGGATTCGTCTTAAGACGATGAGATTTCCTCCGCAGTTGCGTGACGGGAATTTCTGTTTCGCGTTTCTTGGACAGTCTTTGCTACTACTTCTAGTTATCTATCGCGCTATTAATAAAAGGAGAAATAAAAAAACGGGCGCTGGGACGTGGATGCTCTTTTTTAGTCGCTCTTCTTCTCCATGATCTCTCTCAGCTTCCTCTCGCAGCCGACTATGTGCGAGTTCAGGACGAATTTGTGCTTGAACCGTCTGTGACAAATTGGACAGACTTCGCAAGGGATGACACCGCATTCGAGTCGCTTGTGTCTGCTCAGGGACGTGGTCGCTTTGTAGGACTTGCCGCACCTGTTGCACACGTATTTCCCGCCGCCATCTTTTCTGCCCCTGCGCTCGACTTTCGCAGGAAGTTTGTAGCCACCTGATAACGAGTTCCCCGACCAGGACATTTCGGTGACCTGGGACAGCAGCATCGACGTCAGGGATCCTGAAACGAAAGGTCAAACTCGTTAGAGTCCCGAAATGGCGAGTCTTCCGTCAGCGCTGGAAGATAGCTCCCCCTCGATATATCGCATGTCCGATAAGGAATTTCTCACCGATATTAGGAAACTCCCTGAGACCGTCTACACGGAATCTACATATAAATAAATCAATTCGGCTGGACTCGTAAGAGAAAAGGACCTCGCGCAAAATTCGGAAATGGAGTTTTTCCAACTCTCCTGCACCGGAGTGTTAAGCCATTTTTCTTCGGCGATGGGTCTTTTTTCTTTCTTTTCGCATCGGTGTATATTTACATATGTACAACATGACACGGTTGAAACAACGCAGAGCTTGCACAGTAATTTATATTTCGTCCGGCCGAGATTTACGGAAATTAGGGGAAATTAATCCTCGAGTCTAACAACACCTAGCCACTATTAGGACCGGCTCCTTTTATCGCTTAAAGCTCGATGTAGTAAATGATTAATTAAACGCGTGACTACGACACTTTGATTGTCAAACTTAACGAGTTCTTAACAGATATTCGAACTTAATCGTGTATGCTGAATTATTAGTCGCTCGAGCAAACCCCGGGGTGGAGGCGAGGCAAATCGTTAGAAAACTCCCTTAAATTTCTACTAAGAGTGCTTTGCAAAGGGGCGAGATGTACAGGGGTGTAACGAAAATATATATATATATATATTCGATAAAATATATGTCGACGGATTCATGGCTCGCGGCGGTCGATTAAATGGTCTCGTAAAATTCCTTCTTTCGTTTGCAGGAGGCAAGATGGCGCGTGAGCTTGAATCTGTGGGTAAACTTCTTCCCGCAAATGGTGCAACTTTGTCTGGGCTCGACCCCGCACTCCAGTCTCTGATGTCTCCTCAGGGAAGTCTCCAGTTGATAACCCTTTCCGCATCTAGTGCACTTGTGGATCACCGGCCTCCGGGTGTACTTGAGGTTTTCGATGTTCTTCACCGTCAGCCTCGGCACTAAAAAATAAAGGGAAGGTTCGACAGTCAGCGATGGAAGAGAACGAAAAACGGGGCGCGAAAAAAGGGTAACGAGAGGACGCGAATGGGGCGCGAGTACACTTTAGTGGTTCGGAAATGCCTTAAAGATATTATTATCGACAATCTCTGGCAATGTACATGAGCGTAATCCTCTCTACGAAGTCGGCCATTCTGAAATATGGTACATAAATCGATTTTCCATGTTCTTGTTTCTTTTTCTTTTACCAAGTCTCCCCGAGAACGGTCTCACCTAGGATGAAGAAATCAGAGTTTCTCAGGAACTACCTTACCTGAGAGTCTCTTAAATGTACCTGTTTCTTTTCTGTTCTTTTCTTTTTGCGAGAAAGTTAGACGGTATGTCCCGAGCTAAAACCAATAAACCTTTATTACGTCGGTCTGCTACAACGAGTCGCATTTTACAGGGTCGCCATTGTGTCACTTGTGGTCCATGCTAATCATGTGTCTCTGCAGGTGGCACTTCCTCTTGAAGTTGCGCTTGCAAAGGGGGCAAACGAAGGTGCTGGATGATTTCCTCTGACGCTTTTGTTGATGGCCGCCGCGTTTGGACGACTTTTTGCGGTCCAGAGGGACGGCATCTTCCGTCAAAGGCGCCGCGCTGGGGGATTCGGACATGTCTGAAAACCACGACAATCGATACGTTAGAGGACCGTCCAAAATAGGTGAAATTCAGGCGAGGATGCGGCTGGAACTAGGAAATGAGGGTCGCATTCGACTACGAATTAGATAAAAAAGACTTTTTCATGGAGTCATTGCGCCATTGTAATTCGAAGATAACGTAACGTTAGAAGAGATAGAGGGTCTACCGCAGAAAACGGGACGCGTTACACACGATACACCATTTCTTGAGAACGGGTCGGCGCAGTTTCCAAAAAAGAAAGGAAAAAAAAATAGAAGAAAAAACAACAAAAAAGAGCTATTGATAACCCGAGATCACAGATATGCGTCCGTCGAGGTGTTAAGTCAAACCTGGGTGAAATCAGTAACTTCTGAAGTACCCACTTTTAGCAGTTCAACACAATTCGTAAAAAGCCACCACTCTTCGAGGTCCTTGGCTAGGGTGCCAAGGACCAAATTGTCCTTTCGTTTTCCTTGATAACAGGAAGGACAGATTCGATGCTACCGCTACTTTTTCACCGGAAGTCTCTACTTTTACTCTTCCTTGTTCACAGGTTGATCGAGTGAATGAGCCTCGTGTGCGATTGCCAGCGGTGCTTGTGCTTAAACTTTCTTCCGCAAATCGGGCACTCGAAAGTCGGGTCCTTTCCGCACTCGACGCGCAAGTGTTTTTTGAGGGAATCTCTCCAGAGGTACTGCTTCCCGCACTGGAAGCACATCCAGGTTTTCTTAGAAGAGGCTGAAAGAAGAAAATCGAACGTCCGTTAGCTCTCTCCTCCATCAAGGTTTCCGAGAAGTTCAATACAGCCGATTTTCGAGAACAATTCGCGCGTCTACCTACCTATCATGAAATACAATATGGAGGTGGTTTTCATACATTTAGAGAAGACATTTCGTATTCCATCTAGAGTGAAATAGGGTAGAAATGAGAGGCGCGCATTCGATCTTAACCCTTCCTGTATTCTCATCTCTCCCAGAGAACGTCTTACCTGAACGTCTCATTTGTACTCGATGTCACTCTAAAAGCGTAATTACTACACACGGAACGTGAACGAAAAGGGGGTTTCCAAGAGAGAAAGAAATTTATTGCACTTCGCTCGAAATGGGGAGGGGTATCAAAAGTGAATTCATCTCGGAGGTCGAGGAAGAAGTCTCGTTCAACGAAGATCGAGTCGGTGGACGCGCCTCGAGTGCGACTGCCATCTGTGCTTGTGCTTGAATTTTCTCCCGCAAATGACGCACTTGAAGGTGGGCTCCTTCCCGCACTCCACGCGAATGTGGTTCATCAGAGATCCCCTCCAGACGTAACGTTTTCCGCACCGAAGGCACATCCAGGTCTTCTTAGGGAAAGCTGGAAGAAAACGATCGAACGTAAGTGAGAAGATCCGGAGATCATCGAGATGTGCCTCGAGGTTGTCCACCCTTCCTCTTGTCCAACCTCGGGGACCTCCTTCGCGGCTCTAGTTCTATGCAACGATCGTGGGCGTGTCTATTCGCTAGGTACTTCCGGAAGATCCGAATAAGTCGAGCTGGTCTTGTAGGAAAATTAATTTATTTCTTAGCTACTTAGGTACCCGCGTGCAGAAACTACTCGCTCCTTAGTTAAGGTGAAGTGAAACATCCTTCAAATCAGTCGATTCGAATACAACACTTTTTTTTAAAGGTATTAGACCAAACTGTCCGAAACTTTGACACATCACTCCTGATCATCTAAGAATTGTCCTGACACATTAAAAATTTGGATTTTTCAAACAAATTTTTTAACTCAGTCCACACCAGAACCAAAATGCCGTCGAGCTCTGATATTTCGATCAATATACAATTATCGAAGGTTTTGATATGAGAAACGAAAGAGTCAGGACAATTTTACGACAATTTAGAGCACTCTGGTAATCGATAAACTCGCATTTGAACAGGATAAAGGCAAAAAAAGTGTTGTATGCGCTTCTATGCTAAAACGATGGTAATACGAGGTCTCGGAGTGCAAATTTAATTGACCTGGAAATCACAGATGGCGCAGGGGGTCCCTCCGCAGTCAATTAGGGCCCCAGAAGGCATGAATCCAGAGGATTTCTGGAGTTTTACTTCGATTTTTTTATAATTCTTGTACGAAAACGACAGGTGGAATATGCCATTTGGTACAATACACAATATAATTTGACCCAGCTGTCAATATAAAAACGAACGTCGGCAACGTAGGCATTTAGGAAAATCTTCTTTATCGACGTTGATCAAGTTCCTCTACGTGTTTCACTTCACCTTAAGGTTCCGCCGAACGAGGAGCTTTAAGGATCTGTCAACAAGGATTCGTTCCATGCATGCGCCGAATGTGCGACTGCCACCGATGCTTGTGTTTGAACATCCTCCCGCAAAAGGTACACTTGAAGGTGGGCTCCTTTCCGCACTCTATCCTGACGTGGTTCATCAGAGACCCTCTGCAGGCGTAATGCCTTCCGCACTGGAAGCACACCCACGACTTGACTTTCACAGGCCAGTCTGAAAAATAAGCAACACCTCGGCATCAGTACTACCGTCAAGAAAAATCGATCAATTAATTCCGGGTTCCGCAATAATTCTTGATTCCATAACTTTACGTTTATCCTCGATCATCTTGGTACGTAAAAATCGACCGTCGATATCCTGCCCCGCAGAAATAAATATCGCTAATTTTTAGAAAAACGGCAATGATACAAGAATTTTGCAGATCTTCAGAGAAGCCCTTTTGCGGTGACGTGCTCTTCTTCGTCCATTGAGTCGGCTTGAATTTCCGGCTCGGTGAACGCCCTGAAAAACGAGGAGGTTCGTTAAACCGAGTTTAGAATCCCAGGTCTTGATTTCGAGAATTAAATGGTATCTAGTCCGATGTAGATTGAAGGGGTTTGCTCGAACTCAGTGCACCGAATTTCCTAAGCAAATATAGTACGCCCTTTATTAAACTCGGCCGGCGCGTTCGAGGGTTTACAAGGTTATCGCGGAGAGGAGTGGCGGCTAGGATTCATCTGTGGAACCAATTCTTGTTGTCCCTGTAAAGATGGAAGGAGGCGGCGTTTTCCGGCTTGTGGACGGTCTTGAGATGTTTGGTCAGATGATGCTTCTGCTTGAACCGTTTCCCGCAGATGTAGCAGGGGAACTGCCTCTCCTTCCCGCAGTGGCCGGTGTGGTTCCACATGGTCTTCTTGTTGAAGAACACCTTGCCGCAGATCCGACACGGGTACACCATGGTGTCCAGGAGGCCTGGAAGAGAAAAGAAACCACGTCACGGAAGGGAAGCCTCGGGCAATTCGCGTTTCGTCAGGCTGGACTATCGATAAAAAAGCGGTCTACTCGACGTTACCCTAAGCGATCGAGAGAAAGACACGGAGAAAGGAGAAAAGTGCCCTCCTCTGCATCCGTCCTCGATTCTCCGTGTCTTCCCCTTCCGTCCTCTTATTAATGCACAATTCTTTCCTGCCGAACTCGACAGGTCCTCTGTACCCTTTTCAGCTCTTGCAGAAGCTACTGATTCAGATGGAAGTTCGACGTCAGATGGGAGTGCAGTCGGTGCTTGTACTTAAATTTCTTTCCGCAAAGCACGCAGGTGAATTTCGGCTCCTGGCCGCACAAACGAACGTGCGTGTACATCGAGGACTTGCGCGTGTACACCTTGCCGCAGAGCTTACACACGTAGGTGGTGTCGGTAGCCAGACTCGCATCTGCAAAAGAAGATGAAGGAGATGTAGAGCAGCTCCTAGCCCGTCGAAAAACCGTCCACGAAAGGGATCTTATGCGGGAGGTTCTAGAGAAATTAACTCTTCGTCGTTTGATCGCGCACGAGTGCTCGAAATCGATCACCGGAATCGACAACGATTCGTCGACTAATTTTGGGCCATTTTCAGTTTTCTCGCCGTACTCGATAATTAATCATTTTTCTATATCGTTACAAATTTTGCAGGACACTATAATCGACATGCTTCCACCTGCTGAAGTGCCCCGCAACAATTGAATTTATCGAGTACGGCAAGAAAATGAAATTGATAAAAATCGTTGACGATAAACACCCCATGGAAAGTCAATATCTTTTTAGATAGATCGAGGGAAACGTTTCTGTACAGACACCGTGCATTAGGCACGATATTGGATGTCTTCTCAATTCGCATTTTTTTTTACTTATGTGTGTTCAAATCACAAGTCACGTTATGTACATGCGCACTGAGTAATTAGAGAAGAAATGTTTAAACCGCGTTTTATTAGCAATGCTCGATAATCGTCAGGTATAAATTCAGGACGATTTTCTTCGGATGACGTTTGTCGGTGAAAGTTGCGGCCGAATCGCGTCCTTTCTCTCGCAGCCTCAAGTCCTCCACTCGTCCCGATCTTGAAGACGATCTTGAAGTCGTCTCGACGAGGACCTGCAAAAACTCGTGGTTATTTCGTCAAACTCGAATTTTCCCACTCCTCGGGGTCGCTTCAACATTTCGAGACTGTCTTCAAGTAGAATCTGGAAAATCGAAGCCGTCCAATAATTCTTACCTCTGATCCATCGGATGAAAAATATCTTCAAGTCGACAGATCAGATAATTTTGCGTTTTCCCGAACTACTCGATCTTTACCGTGAATGTATCAAACGTTTGCATTCTCTCTCATTTTGGATTAGAAACTAGAGTGAGAATTTCGAGCGTTTCAGGATAAGTGGTTGTGAACAGTCCCTCTCTAGTGAACAATCCCGTAGCAAGGAAGCGTAACATAATTTGGTTTATTGACCGCCGTCGAAACTGTAAAAGTGTGCGATAAATACAGTTGAATATCGATGCTTTCATTGCACACCGAGGATCTAGTCGAGCGACGTTTTCTTCCTAGATCAGTATAACCAAGGGACGTCAAATTTGTCGCAATGGTGCCGTCTCTTCAGGTGCTCCTTCAGGTGATGTTTATGCTTGAACCTCCTGCCACAAACGATGCATCCGAATTGCGGTTCGATTCCGCATTCTAGGCGCCGATGTTGCTGCAACGATTCCTTCCATTTGTAGGTCTTGCCACATAACTCGCAGACGAACGTCTTCCTGATCAGTCGAGGATCTAAAAATTCAAAACAGATAAATCGAAAACGATTACTCGAGTGGTGTATCCGTTCTCTCTTAGCCTATCGAGATGAGCGTCTCTTGCGGGCAGATTTCGGAGTTTTATATTTTAGAATGAATTTCATTCAAACTTATCCTTAAAAATCACAAAGCTTGAGAAACATCCACTCTCTGTCAAACTACGAAATTAATAACGAAAGGATGTAGGACGGTCAAGAAAAGAAAAGCAGCGATTAAACAAGACGAGGGGGCAACAAAAAGTCGCCACTTTCCACCTACCACTTTATCCATGTACATAATCGTATTTTTTCTTAATTGTACCACACACGCCCCTTCTCAGCCATACAATCTCCTTAGTGTTTAACGTGCAGGATTCATCCTTCCGAATTAATATAACTTTGGGGTATGCTTAACGTTTCACTAAATGAACAAGTACAAGGTACCGGCCTGCTCGACAATTAATTAACAAGGGGAACTTATGCCCGACTTATGGGAGCATTTCGGAGTAACGATACTTTGGTTATGCGGGATTTATGGTAAAACAATGTCAAATGACCACGGGTAACGAATACAAAACGTAGTCCGTACTTTGACACACATTTTGGCGGTAACGCCGTTGCAGGTCGATGCGACATTTAACGAAAATGTCTATAAAAAAACATTTCCAGCCGAACAACGACGCCAAGTATGAAAAGGGATTGCGGAATTTCGCAGGGATGCGAGTTTATTGTCTATCGCGGTAATTGCGATCACGTATACGAGGACGAGGTCTACTCGAAGTACTCTTGCTCGGGTCGAGTGTAAGTATGAACGTAAAGATGCTGCTTCAATTGGTCCTTGCGTCGAATTTTCACCATGCAGATCGGGCAAGTGAGTCTCGGCGGAATTCCGCACTCCTCCCGCTGGTGTCTCAGCAGCGTCGGTTTCCGCAGGTACTTTTTTCCGCACGCGGTGCACAAATACTTTCCGTCGTAGTCGCGCTCGTAGCACTTGAAGGTAGCCTGACCTAGAAAAAGAAACGGCAGTTAGTCGATGTTCTACCAAAGGTATTGCATATCTTCATCAATTAATCATTAGAAGGTCTGGGAAAACGACGGACAGAGACGAGGGAATCGCTCGCAAAGGTCCTTCGCACCCTAAGAGGTCCTTTGGAACACGAGATATAGCCTGTGGATATCTTCTTTATTTTACACTTGTCGGCTCGTTACAGGTTCTCGCGATAAGTGTCTTTACGATAATTCGCCATTTTCTGGGATCTCGTAATTTGGGCGACCGGAAGTCAAGCAGGACTCCAGGGAAAGGATTCGTACCGTGCACTTTGCCCACGACCCATGCGGCACGAAGATGAAGTAAAACAAGCGAGAAATTATGTAAAAACAAAAAGGACGAACATTTTTCCGAACATACCGTGTTGAGGAACTTATTATTTTTGTTTAACATCGGTGTAAGCTCTCAGAGGAAATTTTTGTTCTATTTAGATCGCCCATTCGCGGGGAGTGGAGGATGTACGCACAGCTGTACATTCGGTTTCTTTTTTTTTCCTTTTTTTTTTTTTCTATAAGAGAACTTTTTCTCCGAACTCAATAGAGCTTTTACACGTTCTTGCCGTTTGGAACGACCCAGTGATGGACGTTGATCATGTGCTTCTTCAGCATCCATTTGTGGCGGATCCTCGTTCCGCAAACGGGGCAGCAATGTTGCGGCCCTTTTCCGCACTCTTCCCTCTCGTGTCTGACCAAAGACTGCATCCACTTGTATTCCTTGCCGCAGGCTCTGCAGGAATGTCTTCCCAATCTCTTGTAGTAATCGGAGGAAACCAGGAAGCCTGAAAGAAAAAGACAGTCGTCTGAGAAACCTTTATAAACCTCTGACACCCGGAAGTTCTCTTATCATATCACTTCCCAGCAACTTTCGACTCCGGATTAGCGACACTTGCACTTAGGGGCGGACATATTTCAAGGAGGCGTTTAAAATTACATTAAAATTAACTCGATGCTTTACTTCGACTGCCGACTTACTCCGATCGACCGTCCCGATATCACAAAGTCGACATAAAAATTACTCCTATTTATTACAATCGAATATTGGCATTCTTATGCATGTTCCATACATTAATTACAGTACAGCTGTTCTACGGTATTACAAGGACACTAGACTCGTGAGACCTCGGTTTACTCTTTGACAAAGAATTTCCAACGCTGAGATAAGACTTATTTATTCCGCCTACTACATATCCACGTATTCGCGCTATCATACAAAACGGATCTACCGAACTAAGGATGCTGTCTCGGTAGATAACATCGAAAAAGGGCGCAACGATTCCTGGACACGGTGTCGAAACGATGCCCGAAATCGTACCTCGCTAGTTACTAAAAAACCCTCATCCGGCGAAGGACCACAGCGACCTCAAAAAACAAAGGAAAAATAAAAGGAAAAATCTTATCATCCTCCTCACGCAGGAAACGATAACCCCTAAAATTAAGGACCGCGTCAGCGGCCAAATCAGTCCAGAAATCACTTTCCTTCCCACGATAAAAAATATCGATAGTCGATTTCGTCGTTTTCTCTCGTGTAAAGAAATCCTCACGGAGGATCCTACCCAGGACGTGAACGTCCTGGTGCCGAGCCCGACATACGCGTTCTTTAAAAGTACCTGACCGATCGTCTATAATACATAGTCGAGGTGAATGTATTTCGCAGCTACACATCTAGGTCGGAGAAGAATCCTTGACCTCGACCTCGAGTCTATCGGGGATATCGCTCATCCTCCCACTTTCGACGGGGAGGAAGGACGAGTCCTCTCTCGGTTGGGTCCTTTCGGGCGACCCAGCATCCCTGACGTCTTCGTGGCCTTCCTCCTTCAGGCTCTCGGGAGTCTCCCGTCCGAGGGATCCCCACGTGGGACCTCGACGGGAAGTTATTACTAGATCATCGCCAGCTCGAATTTGTGCACGGTGACCTCGTGGCGTTGGAGATAGTCCTTGCGTTTGAACTTCCTCCCGCAAAGTCGGCAGTAGTGCTTCGGAAGCATGCCACATCCCTCTCGCTGGTGCCTCCTGAGGGAGTCGGTCCAGGTGTACTGCTTCCCGCACTTGTAGCAGCTGAAGGGCGCGTCGTAGTTGACCCTGTTGCGATCCCTCTTCAGCTCTGAAACAGAAACGATCTCTGGTGA